CTTGCAAGTCTGAAAGTACAATTCTCCTTTACAGCCCAAGAAAGTAGGGAGGGCCCCTTCTGAGCCTCTTGCCCTACTCACTATCTAGCTGCGGGCTATGCTGTCTCTTATCTGATCATTCCCTAGGCAGCATCCCTTCGCCCCATCTCCCAAGGTCTTTCCCACATACCATTACGTCATCTCCCTTTAGTGTAATCTTAATGTACACAACTCCCTTAAAAATCCAAATACTGTACCAATATGAGCAGAAATGAACAATGAAAACAATATAATGACATTTTGAGAAAAGCAGTTATTGTAACTAAAATCTTCTTCACACCTCTCCTGGACTCTGTCTGCACCTCCCCAAGGAAGTACACCTCACTGCTTGGGAAACCTTTGCTTAAATTATAAACATTTGCTCACTGATTTTGAATCACTCATCTCTGATACAAGACATTTTCACCACAATCACAAACTATTTTTAATATGGGATATGTAATTTATGAGTGTTAACATTGGATAAGAACCAAAGGGCTTATTTAGATTCACCAAAATATTAAGCCATACTAGGAATAAAATATACTGAAGACCAGGATACGTGTCTATAAAACAAGAAGTACTTAAGAATGAAAGAGATTACTCAGATCCATATATTTTCAAGAAATAGCAGTTTACAAACATCTGTATATAACCTTTACCAAATGATACATTTTGCATTTGATACGACAGTAGCTATTCCTGCATATTTAATACATTATGTTTACTTTTATTTCTTTTAATTCTATGCTCCCTGAATCTTTTTTGGGAGAGAGTGACTCTCTATTTATTAAACAAATAAATATGTTATATGAAACATGCTTTTTGAACTGTCTCTCAGGTTGATATTAATTTAATAATGTGGTCAGTAAACCATCTTTTTTCTGTTACTTTTGCTCTAATAGTTTTGCCCTGAATAAGTTTATTTGCTGTAATTCCATGTCCTTATCTATGGAATTTACAGGAAGACCTTTGATGACTATTGGATTATGTGGTCTAATCATGTACTAAGCATCTCCAAGAGAGGATTTACATTTCAGAAAGTTCAGTGTTTATCCACTAGGTGGTAGAAATCTGTCATCAGAGAAATGGGTTGTATATGAAGGTTATTTTATTATGAAGGATAGGGTAAATAAAGACAACATTACTTTAATATATTAAGTGCCATCAAGTCAGTGTCAAGTCTTAGTGACCACATAGAGACCACATTTTTCTCAAGAAACATATAGAGATTTTCTACGAGAGCTTTAATATACACTTAGTATATACCAATAAAAATAAGTTACCTGAAGAGGCCATCAGAATTATTCTTAATTCTGACTTTGCAAAATAAATGCAAATTATTTACCTGTGATCTGTGTTTTAGAAGAAATGAGGGGACTTGAACTACAATCTCTATGCAGCGATTCATTTGTACTGCTGTGATCATGATATTCAAGGGACAATGATCTCATGCACTGGGCTGAACGAGAATAGCTTCCAACTAAGTATGCACAGAATTGCAGCCATGTCACTAATACATGGGGGGGGGGGGCAGAGACCAACACAATTAAAAAAAAATATGTTCGAAATTTCCCTGCACAGAAGTATTTTACAAGATTCCAGTGGTGATAATGAAATGATAAAAGTTTATTGTCCACAAAAGACAGACAATACATAACAATGTAACCATCCTAATCTTAAGCATATTAATTCAGACAATAAGCCTCACTGAGAGCAACGGGACTTCCTTTTGAGTAAATAAAATAGACCCATAATTAATTTACTAGGATAGTCTCCCTGAAATCAATAGTATTTAAGCTAGTCATGTTTCCTTTAGGCCCACTGATTTCAGTTAGTCTCTTCTTAGTATAAGTAAACCAGGATGCAACCCTTTATTCCAGTACTATAGCTATTGATTCTTCACAGGAAAATTTTATTTTGCACACCATAAAATTAACCCAAATTAATCTGTGTAGTTCACTGGTTTTCTTTAAAGACCCAATTAGAACAATAAAGGGCTGCATCTTAAAATTCCATGACCAGATTTTTCTTATCTGTCTTTTGTTTTACTAATTTTCCAGTCCCACCCCTTTCCTATTCACCAGAACAATTTATCAGATGTTCTTTCTTCCTTCCTGACTCTGAATGTCAGTTCTGATTACTTCCAAAGGTACCCATTTCAGTTCTGTTTTCTTTTTCAGACTTTTTTTTTTTTTTGGATAAAGGTCACTGTCTGTCTAAACCAGTTCTCAAAACTTTTGCAATCCTGCAATTTCCTAAAATGGTAAAAATGAGTCGGTGGAACCCTGACAGTTACAGATCAGTGCTACTCTTCCATACTGAGCCCAGGTATCTTCCACATTCAAATTGCCTTCACTCCTCCTGAGCACCTGTCCAGCTTCTTTAATCAGGTTTCTCCTGAGTAGCCCTATTGGGCCCAGCTGCTCTTCAGGCCAGGACCTCTATGCCTTTCTGCAAACCCAGCCATTCTTGAGCTCCTGAGTGGGGTCAGAGTTGTGGGAGCCCAGGGAAGAAATGGTAGGGCCAGTTGCTGACTCAGAATCATGGCCAGCAACACAGGGTCTGCTTTCCAGGCTATTTCCTCCTCCTCTTCCTTGCCTGAGGAAGGCTTTTGAAACCAGACCATGATAGCGGGTGGGGCCCACCTAAATGAGTGGAACACTACAATATGCTAGAATTTATTAATATGCAAAACAACATAATCTCCTGAATATCCATCTAAAACAAGCCTAGAACACCCCCCTCTACACACTTGATGCCCTCAAAACCTGGTGAGCTCAGCTTCCCGGTCTCCCATTAGCGCTACTGAGAGAATCTTGAAGCTGCCGTCCCAAAACCCGGGGCGGGAGAGGACCAGCCCGGTCTACCACTTTGTTCCTCCGCTCACCACGCGAGGAATCCGGCTGCGGATCACGGGTTGGGCTCTGCAAACATGGAGTAGAGCAAAGATCTCGATCAAAGGACCACAGAAGTCCAAGGTACTTAAGTGGCCGCTTCCACCGTCGCCTACCTTTCAGCGAGCCAGAGCTTAACTGACAGCTGCTCCAGTGGCTCGCACAACGTCGCGTGTGCTTAGACGGGTGTGGACGGAGCTCCGAAATCAAAGCAGGAGACTCGGAGGAGAAGCGCGCCCAGGACTCTGCCCAATTGCGTCTTGGGTGGCCGTAACTCCAGGCTTAGAAGCGCGGGGGCGCGTGCCGCGGTTCTCCCGCTGCCATGGCAATGGCTTTCGTCCCTCGGCAGCGGCAGGATGAGTGGCACGGATGGCGGTGCCGCCGAGAGCCCTCTCGCGCCCCCCGACTGGGTCGGATCGGCAGGACGCACTTGCGTCCCGTTCCCCGGCCGGCACCCTCCGCCGAAAGATCTCTAAGCCTGCATCGCTAGCCGCAGACGCTCAGTCCGCCATTTCCCCGATCTTCATGACTACCATTGCGCGCGCTCAAGCGCAAGCGCAGGCGTTCCTGCGCTCGGCTATAGCCACCGAGCGAGCTAAGCGCTGGCCTGAGGTAACAGGCGCGCCAGCTGGGCTCGCGGAGCGGCCCGCGCGGCGAGCAATTCTGGATGGATTCGCGCTCCGGGCGCAGTTGCGCCGTGTTAGGCGATGGATGATCCTGGTGCTGGACGGCCGTCGAGCAGCTTTCACTGCATATTCCCAAACTGAAAACCAGCATGGCCTTTGGCTGGGAATTTTGGGGAGTTGTGGTTCAAAACAAGTTAGGAAGTCTGCTTCCGAGGAGAGTAGAGCCAGTTGACCGAATGAGGGAGGCCCTGGCTTTCACTTCAGGCTTTTTTTCTACCCAGAGCGGGAGTTTCTGTGCTGTCAGTGGTTTTGTGACTTCTAGAGTTCAACGGGTGAAGTTTTGTTTTCTTTAGATTCAGGGAAATCTCACCAGCGTATCTCCTGATTGAGAACCTGTGCGCTGCAGACATCAAGGCCTGAGGGAGAGCAGAAACAGGAAGCCTGTTCCTTGCAATCTCTCACTCTGTGCTTTGGAGTGGGGCTCCCCCCCCCCTTTGCCAGATAAATAACCTGAACTTGCTTGAAGGTTGAAGGTGCCTGGAATTCTGAGTCACTTCCACTTTTCAGAATTCTTTCCTTTGTGTCTTTCTTTGGCACAGTGACGTGGCAGAGCTTAAAAGAATTGGCATTTCTTTTTATTTCTGCCTCTCGACTTTGCTGTTGTTTTTTTTAAATAAAGTGTTGTTTTTGTAGCAAATACTGGCTGTATTTTCCTGACATGCTAAACCAAAGTCCCTGCTGGATTCATATAATATGCTCTCCCCAAACAAAGCATATTATGACCTCACATGATGGTCTGATGCACACAGCATGCTAAGGGGTGGTTGGCTTAGTTGCTATGGTTAGCAAACCACAAGTGTTATGAGATCACAGCCAA